TTTTTTTTTTTTTTTTTTTTTTTGGAGACGGAGTTTCGCTCTTGTTACCCGGGCTGGAGTGCAATGGCGCAATCTCGGCTCACCGCAACCTCCACCTCCTGGATTCAGGCAATTCTCCTGCCTCAGCCTCCTGAGTAGCTGGGATTACAGGCACATGCCACCATGCCCAGCTAATTTTTTGTATTTTTAGTAGAGACGGGGTTTCATCATGTTGACCAGGATGGTCTCGATCTCTTGACCTCGTGATCCATCCGCCTCGGCCTCCCAAAGTGCTGGGATTACAGGCGTGAGCCACCGCGCCCGGCCGATTTTTGTATTTTTAGTAGAGACTGGGTTTCACCATGTTGACCAGGCTGGTCTCAGACTCCTGACCTCAGGTGATCCACCCACCTCAGCCTCCCAAAGTTCTGGGATTACAGGTGTAAGCCACCACGCCGGCTGTATCTTTTTCTTAATAATGTATAGAAACTGTTTACATATTGTGGATCTGAATCTTTTATTGAATTTATGAATTACATTCTGTAACTTGCCTTTTCAATCTTGTTTTCTTTTCTTTTTTTTTCTTTTCTTTTAAGAGATGGGGCCTTGACTGGGCACAGTGGCTCACACCTGTAATCCCAGCACTTTGGGAGGCCGAGGCAGGCAGATCACGAGGTTGAGAGATTGAGACCATCCTGGCCAACATGGTGAAACCCCGTCTCTACTAAAAATACAAAAATTAGCTGGGCATGGTGGCACGTGCCTGTAGTCCCAGCTACTCTGGAGGCTGAGGCAGGAGAATTACTTGAACCCAGGAAGCGGAGGTTGCAGCCAGCTGAGATCGCACCACTGCACTCCAGCCTGGCGCCTGACGACCAAGCAAGACTCTTCCTCAAAAAAAAAAAGTTTGGAATAATTCAGTTTTGAAATCATTTGGGCTTGGAGTTTTCTTTGTGGGAAGTTTTAATTAATACCTCTGGTGTCTTTATTAGCTGTCAGACTATTAGATTTTCTGTTTCTTCTGATATCTCTGACAAATTTTGTTTTTTGAGTTTATCCATTTCATCCAAGTTTGTGGGTTTACTGACCTGAATTTATTAGTAAATTATTTTATTTTCTTTGTAATATTTGTAGATTCTGGAGTGCCATCTCACTCTTCAGCCCTGGCTGGAGGGCAGAGTGCAGTGGCATGATCATAGCTCACTGCAGCCTTGACCTCCCAGGCTCAGGTGATTCTTCCACCTCAGCCTCCAGAGTAGCTCAGACTACAAGCACACACCACCACACCCAGCTAACTTTTTTTTTTTAAGACAGAGTTTCACTCACTCTGTCACCTAGGCTGGAGTGCAGTGGCGTAATCTTGGCTCACTGCAACCTCCGCCTCCTGGGTTCAGGTGATTCTCCTGCCTCAGCCTCCCAAGCAGCTGGGATTACAGGCACTTGCCACCATGCCCAGCTAATTTTTGTATTGTTAGTAGAGACAGGGTTTCACCATGTTTCCCAGTCTGGTCTTGAACTCCTGACCTCAAGTGATCCGCCCACCTCAGCCTGCCAAAGTGCTGGGATTACAAGCATGAGCCACCAAGCCCAGCCCAACTTTTTTGATTGTTTTATGGAGACAGTGTCTCACTTTATTGCCCTGGCTGGTCTTGAACTCCTGTGCTCACACGATCCTCCTACCTCGGCCTCCCAAACTGTTGGGATTACAAGCATCAACCACGGTGCCTGGCTGAAATCCTAAGTTTCAATCATGAATTTTAAAACACACATACCTTTGTAACTCAAGCCCATTAAGGCTTTTGTCACCCCAGAAGTTTTCCCATGACCTTTCCCCATCAGGTAGGAAACCACTAGGCTGGTCTTGTCTTGTAGTTTTGGTTGTTTTGCCTTCTCTCAAACTTCATGTACGTGGGACTGTGTAACGTGTGCTCCTGGGCAGAAGGCTTCAGTCTCTCTGTGTACTGTTTTCACATTGATTCACGTCGACTGTGCACCGGTAGTTCGCTTATTTCATGAGTGAAGGATGCTCTGTTGATGTGTGGACTGCATCTCGATCTGTTCTTCTTGTGATGGGCATATGGGAGTCCCTGCTTCTTGGCTGTTGGGAATAATGCTGTGATGAACATTCGTGTCTGGGTTTTTATATGGACCTAGGTTTTCAGTTTTCTTGGGCAGGTACCGTCTTGTTACTTTTATTGATTTGTTAGTTAAATGTGTTCTTTTAAGTAGCAGATTTACATGAACCCACCAACACAGAAATGTAGAAGTTGTGATAAGAAAATGCGGGTGACTGAGGAAACCCAGGCATGGGAGTCTGGCGGGGCCTCTGGAGGGACTCAAATGAGGTCAAGGAAGCCATTGGCTTGTGTCTTCCCATCTCTGTGAGCACCTCCCTGTGTGGCTTCCTCTTTCCATGCCTGCCTGTCTGCTTCTCTTAAGACTCTTCCCTACGTCTACTTCCTTCTTCCTGCTGTCTGCACACTTAAGTCCTTCAGCTGCAGAAGCACAAGGTTGCCACCCCCAGGAGGTACACCCTACAGCACCCTTCGGAGCAGAGAGAGTCTTCTCAGTCGGAATTCTGAGTTCGTGGGGCTTTCATGATGTCCAAAGTTATGTATAAAACTTTTCTTTTTGGTGCCACAAAGAAAAATGTGTACTGGGACAAAGGATTTCTCAGCAAAGTAATTCTTCTTACTTTCTGCAGAAAGGGTACTCCCATTAGCAATCTAGCCACGAGGGTACAATGAACAAAGGAAAGCAGACATATTTATTTCTTATGCGTTTGGGGTCATCCTTACTGCTGTGTCTGATTTCCATTGGCTGGAGCCAGACCGCACAATCTACACTAAAACTCGATTGGCTAACAACTTGAAACTAACAGGTAAAAGCAATGGAGAGCAAAACAGGAAGTCCAAATAAGGAAGGGGCCCAGGCTGCGAGCTGGGATATGCCTGTGAGCACGTCCTGCACAGACATCTTGGCTAAAGTACCAGGACACTGAATGTACTATGTGCCTGTACATAGTAGTACAGCTGCATAGGGCAGGGCTTCTAGCAAAAAGGCAAGAAGGCTTTTGAAGAAAGTGTTTAAATTATTTCTAACACTTACGAATTTTCCTTAAACAAGAAAGGAAACTCTGAAGAGGAAGTTTTCTACTTCCCGCCCCCAACATGCCCAGTTGGACAGCCCGTTGATTTTCCCCTTTTCATCGATCAGGAAACTCTTTGTTATTGTTTGTTAAGTTTGAAAAACACTTTATATCAGATATCACTAATCAGAATTCTGTAACCTTCATGGTTTGATTTTTGTCCAATCACAGACTTCTTAGTTTTGATTTTTAAATTTTTGTCGTCATTGACATGTTGTTGTTGTCTTGCAGCATCGAGACCAAAGCATTTGCTGGTATTTATCAATCCGTTTGGAGGAAAAGGACAAGGCAAGCGGATATATGAAAGAAAAGTGGCACCACTGTTCACCTTAGCCTCCATCACCACTGACATCATTGGTAAGGCACACATGCTGCATTAACTGTGTAGAAGTAAGTGTGAGAGCGATTCAGGTATGGTCACTAGAGAAGCTTCTGTTTTTTCCAGACAGTGTCTCACTCTGTTGCCCAGGCTGGAGTGCAGTGGTGCAGTCACGGCTCACTGTAACCTCAGCCTCCCTGGCTTAGACGATCCTCCTGCCTCAGCCTCCCAAGTAGCTGGGACCACAGCGTGTGCCACCATGCCTGGCTAATTTTTGTATTTTTTGTACAGATAAGGTTTCACCCTGTGGCTCAGGCTGGTCTCAAACCCTTCAGCCCAAGCAATCCACCCACCTTGGCCGCCCAAAGTGCTGGGATGACAGGGATGAGCCATCATGCCCAGCCCAAGATTTTTATCCTGTAAAATTATTTTAAACAAAATAGAAGGTTTTTTTACATAGCAAAATGAGAAAAATGTAAAATAAATCACTTAGTGTTTTCCAGCCAAGTCTCGGAATAGAAAGCTCAAGACAAACACTAGGAAGGTAGAAGGGCAACAATTACAGACAGAAAAGTCTCAAAAGAGGAGTCACAAAGGATGAATAAGTCTTGGAAATAATCTCATCAATAAGGGATATTCACATGCACAATATAGTAGCGCAGTACAAGTGCCGGATGCGGAAAGGTGGGGCGAGACCGTGTTTTGTGAAGCGATGTGAAAAACTCACCTGGCAATGTGGGTTGAGAGCCTGAAAAATGAGGGCGTTTTCGCCAGTATTTTACGTTCTCTAAATCTTTCCTAGGACACAGTGAAGTGCACAGAGATGGAGGCACACAGCGGTCCTTTGCACTGTTTGTATGATAGTAAAGCACTGGAAACAACTTTATTTCTTTCTATTTTTATTTTGAGAAAGAGTGTCACTCTGTCACCCAGGCTGGACAGGCTGGAGTGCAGTGCCGTGATCTCAGCCCACTGCAACCTCCACCTCCCAGGTTGAAGCGATTCTCATGACTCAGCTTCCCGATGTGGGAAGTAGAAAAGTTCCTCTTCAAAGTTTCCTTTCTTGTTTAAGGAAAATTCGTAAGTGTTAGAAATAATAGTTTGTTTTAAACACTTTCTTCAAAAGCCTTCTTGCTTTTGCTAGAAGCCCTATCCTATGTAGCTGTTAGACATGCTCACAGGCACGTAGTACATTCTGTGTCCTTGTACTTTAACCAAGATATCTGTGCCGGACGTGCTCACAGGCATGTCCCGGCTCGAAGCCTGTGCCCCTCCTTATTTGCACTTCTCCTTTTTTTTGCTCTCCATTGCTTTACCTGTTTAGAAAAGTTTCAAGTTACTAGCCAATCGAGTTTTAGTTTAGATTCTGAGGTCTGGCTCCAGCCAACGGAGATCAGACACAGCAGTAAGGACGACCGCAAGTGTGTGAGAAATAAATATGTCTGCTTTCCTTTGTTCATTGTACTCTTGTAGCAAAATTGCTAACGGGAGTACCGTTTCTGCAGAAAGTAAGAAGAATTGCTTTGCTGAGAAATCCTTTGTCCCAGTACTGATTTTTCTTTGTGACACCAAAAGGAAAAATTTTATACATAACACTGAGTAGCTGGGATTACAGGCAGGCACCACCACGCCCGATTAATTTTTATATTTTAGTAGAGACAGGGTTTGACCACATTGGCCAGGCTGGTCTCGAACTCCTGACCTCAGGTGATTTGCCTATCTTAGCCTCTTAAAGTGCTGGGCTGACAGGTGTGAGCCACTGCACCCAGCCACAAAATAATTTTAAATGCCCCCCAAACAGGAGACATAAGCATACAATGGTGGTGAATTTGAAGGAGTGTTATGTAGCACTTTCAGAGGGTTTTTACAAAGAATTTTTAATGATAACAAGGCGATTGGGAGATGACAGGAAAACAAGGATACAAAATTGGGTGTACAGCACACTCAGTAGAAGCTGATGTCCGCTGCAGAGCCTGCATTAACATTATCTTCTTGCTACATTTTGCTATACTCTGCAGATTTGAAAGTAACTTGTATAATAAGAAAAACCTATGAATCAGATATAGTCTCTTTCAAAGAAATTCTTATTTGCTGGCAATTAAATGCCAAGAACGCTGCATCTTATCCAGTAGACTGTGCCCCAAGAGAGGCCCGCGTTCACGTTCGTGGGGTCAGCTTGATTCCGTCCTGTAAGCGTGACGTGACGTAGGATTGAAGAAGGAATTTTATCTAGGAAACCCCCCTCCACGCCCCACCAACCCCAAGGTGTTACAGGAACTCATTTTAAAAGAATGGACTCTTTGCCTTTTCTTTGACATGAGGACTCACAGATGTGAGTATGAACTGTGTGATGGGATTTCTCCCCTGCAGTTACTGAGCATGCCAATCAGGCGAAGGAGACCCTGTACGAGATCAACATGGAGAAGTACGACGGGTGAGTAAGCGGCATCGGGGTTAAGTCAGTTGCTAGTGAAAAAGTTCTGCCCACCTCTGTGTTTTCAGAGCTCCTAAATCCGCCCCTCCCGGCCCCTTTCCCACGCCCACAACCAATTGTAAAAGTCAACATGATTCTTAGAGAAAGGCAGGAAAGAAAGTGCAGAGTCCTGGGTTCCTCCCCTCGGGGCAAGGATGGCTGTTTGCTGATTCTGTTTCCTTTCGGCCTTTCAGAAGACGTGGCCATGCGGCACTGTGTCGACACAAAGAAATCAACCAAGCACATTATCAGCACAGTTTAGATGCTGTCGTTTTTACAGTTTGGGATTCTTCTTTTCCCAGAAATTCCCGAAGACTTCCCAAAAGTACTATTTTTAATGCGTCTATCACGTTCCATTTTGTGGGCATACCATATTTATTTCGTCTCTCACTTGTAGATGTTCAGGCTCTTTCCAATTTTCGCTCTTAGAATAGCATTCTTGTACATACGTCTCTCTGCATACATCTACATTTTTTAAGGTAAATTCCTAGAAACGAAATTAGTCATAGGAGATTAACATTTTAAAATCTCCGCCATGTACTGCCATATTGCTTTCAAAAGAGAGTCTATTAACTTACGTTCTTTCTTTTTTAGAGGTGGAGTTTCGCTCTTGTCGCCTAGGCTGGAGTGCAATGGCACGATCACAGCTCACTGCAACCTCCGCCTCCCAAGTTTAAGCGATTCTCCTTCCTCAGTCTCCCGAGTAGCTGGTGTTACAGGTGCCCACCACCATGGCCAGCTAATTTTTGTATTTTTGGTAGAGACAGGGTTTTGCCATGTTGGCCAGGCTGGCCTTGAACTCCTAACCTCAGGTGATCCACCCGACCCGCCTTGGCCTTCCAAAGTGCTGGGATTATAGGTGTGAGCCACCACGCCGGCCAGCTTGCTTTCTTTCTCAAAGTACATTATTCACTATCCTTGCCAACATGTTAGGTATTATCACTATAAAATTTCTCTGCTAATTTGACATGAAAATCTCTGATCTTTTAAGAAATATGTTTATTGGCTAGCTGGTTTCTTTGAATTGATTTTTATGTCTTTGGCCCATTTTCTTCTGTTGGCCATAATTTCAGTCATTTGTTCTTTTATCCAACAAATAATAGGCAATTCATATTTATATTCTGATTTTTGTAAGCATTTTCGCTAGTTTTGAAACTGTGTTTTAATTTTGTTTATGGCATTATTTTTTGCCAGTAGAAGTTTTGAAATTCATGTACCCAAGTCTGTCCAGCTCTTTCTACGCTGTTCTTTATGATTAAAATTTCATTCTTCATCTTGAGTTTAGCTATTCCCCTGTAGTTAATTGCCTTGTAATTGGTGGGCTTTTTGTTTTCTTCTCTGTTCCATCTGGAATCTGTGAGTAATGTGTTATAAATTGCAGCGAATATTTATTGAAATCATTATTCATTCCACAAACATTACTGAGTATCTGCCAGGTCCTAGCACTCTGCTGGTGGTAAGGTTAGAAAGGGAAATGAAAGCAGCCCCTGAACTTAGGTGCTGACAGGGAGAACTCTTTCCTCCCTTCCTAATGTGTGAATGTTCTGGTCACGAGCTCTGGGAAGCACGCTGCACCTTCACCAACTTTCCCCCAACTCCACCCAAGAGCAGCTCCCCCACCAACTTCACAGCAGCTCCCCCACACACTCCCCCCCAACTCCACCCACAGCAGCTCCCCAACACACTCCCCCCAACTCCACCCACGGCGGCTCCCCCACACACTCCC